TTGGAAAAGAAGGATTGGTCTTAAGTATTATGTGTCGAAGGACATTTTATGACTTAGTCTGTGTTCTATTCCTTAGCTGTAAACACAGACCGAGCAATGCATGCGGGGAGGAGTGGGAATCATCAGTGCAGCCCCCTACCTGCCTTGTTCTGAACAGCCATGTGGCTGATTTGTGAGACAGATATGCAAAGGAAAAAGGAATCGGAGAGAGAGAAAGCAGAGTAAAAGTGACAGAAAACTGAGGAAACGTTATCGATAGTCCTCAAAATCGCTTTTCTTTCTTCGCTGCATTAAAAATCACAATTAGCTCAATGTATGGCTATACAAAAAGACAGTTTCGAAAATGCGGTCCCATTTTTTTCGCGCAAAATTGTACTGCAAATATGCACTACGAGGGGTAAAGTGATGGTGCGAGTGTATTCGAACATTACTGTGAGACTTACATTTTGAGGGCACGCATTGAGAACGATTTCAAGTCCGTTGGTGGCGTTGGCAGCTTCTCGGTCACTTCGTAACGGTGCACCGATGGAATTGGTGGCGTGACCGGCCGAGTGGTGGAATCGTCCGTTGCTCCGGCTTCACTTCCTTTATTGCTAGCCTTCAATGAAGAAAGAAATCCCGTACGTTGTAGTTTGGCAAGAAGAACTTTCACATCAACTGTTGGTGCAGCTGGCTGTTGCTGCTGCTGTTGTTGTTGCTGCTCAGCTACACTTGGGGCTGAAAAAAAAAAACACAATATTACGAAGTACCACAGTAGTAATGAATTTTAAAAAATATTCAAATAACAACGAAGCTCTGGACAGCACGTGATATTCCCAAACAATGTTACAAAACCGATAAAATTCCCATTTTTCTGCCATGATAAGAATGAAATGAGACGATTAGCTCAAGCAGCCACGAAATTTAGGAAAGCATAGAGAAACCGGGAAAGGACAGCGGGTGAATAAATCTGTATACACCCGTATCTGCACACAAATTGTCAAAAAAAAGATGAAAATTCAGAAAATAAAAACACTTAGAATTTTG